GAACATCAGCAAGTTTATTAAGGGCTTTTATAAGAAGGATAGAGATTAACTAGCTGCTGTCTATTTCAGCTGAGTATGAAGTGTGAACAAACATTTTTCAGAAAGGTTTAAGATAAACTGAGAACTTCTTAGGAATAAAGAATGTTAATGTCATAACATAGAAAAAAATGTAGTTATTTCTAATTAACAGATTTGGAACATTTAGGAAGTAGTTCATGCTACTAAACTGTTTGAGATCTATAGCACTCACCTTTGCATTTTATTATAGTAAACTAGGAGCCCAATGCATGAATTCATGCACTTTGAAAGGAACTGTGGGCTGTCACAGGGGCGGGACTTGGTCCCTCCTGCCACTGCCCCAGTCCCCTGTCTGCCAGTGATCTTGCTCCCTGACGGAGCAATTGGGGCCGGCACCAGGAGCAGGTGCTAGTGGAGCCTGCTGCCCCAATCACCCCTCATGAGCAGGGAGAGATGGAGAAGCCCTCAGGGACAATTGGGGCTGGCAGCTACCACTCATACCCACTGACAGTGATGAGCAATCGGGGCCAGCACTAGCAGTGGGTGCGAGTGGTGTCTTCAGCGCTGGCAGGAGCAAAGAATTTTCAGTAACCACCTCAGGCTCATCCTGATGACAGCAACTGCCACCTCACCTTGGTCTGGCTGCCCCAGTCACCTGCTCCACCATCCCACCTTGGCCAATGCCCACCATGTTTCACACTCTTCTGCTGATGCCTGCCATTTTTGCATGCGCCCCCTAGTGGTCAGCACACATCATAGTGACTGGTTGTTTGGTTGTTCTGCTGTTCTTTTTATTTGCATATTAGCCTTTTATTATATAGGATAGGATGTGAAGTAATTGAAGAAACTTTAAAATGAACAGGCTAAAGAAAAACTAGGAGGAAATTTTTGTTATCTTCAAAAAGACAAGTGGAAAGAGCAGCAAAAACACTTAATTCATATGTCCTATTAAATCAGTCTTTTTCCATGAGGTGTTGAGTATTTCCCCACATAAGTATTGAACATGAATATAGTTTACAATAGGTTTGGGGACAGCTGTGTTTTCCATTTGTAAGCATGTTGATTTACATTGATATTGGATTGTACTAAACAAATAGGTGGTTATATTTGAAAGCTGTTTTATACAAACAGTATGCTCTATTGGAGGAGATAAGGTTTTATTAATCATTGCAAATAAGACTACTTCTGGGTAGCTTATTATATTTCTTTAAAGATTATCAAGTAACCTTATTGTATGGACAGATGGCTTGTTTTCTAAATGAATGATGTGCGAATTCTCTTTCATAAATTCAGCAACACTAAGAAAATATTGTTAGAATTCTAAGTAGGAAACCATTGAGCATAAGGAAGTAGGTATCATGAAATAGAGATTTAATTTTTGTGATGCTGTTTCATTTGTTAAATTTGAGGAAACTTGCATATTCTACAGAATTGACAATTTCTATAAGATAAAAGTGATATATGTTCAGAAATCATCATGAGCTATATATTTTTTGCCCAATTAAAGAAAACATCAGAAAGCTATAAAGATTGCAAAAGTCAATCATAATCTCACTACTCAGAGAAACCACTATTAACTTTTTAAATAACTTACTCAGCTGTTTTAACTTCTGAAATAGCCAGAGACAACAGACAAGCAAATGAGTGTGGGTGGTTTCCAATAAAACTTCTTTAAAAAGAGCCCACAGCCCTGGCTCGGTGGCTTGCTTAGTTGGCATGCTGTCCTGTACACCAAAAGATTGCGGTTCAATTCCCTGTTAGGGCACACACTTAGGTTGTGGTTTTGATCCTCAGTTGGGGCATGTATAGGAGGCAACTGATCCATCTCTCTCTCTCTCTCTCTCTCTCTCTCTCTCTCTCTCTCTCTCTCTCTCTCTCTCTCTTTCTTTCTCTCCCCCCCCCCCCCCCTGCTCTTAGTCAGTAAAAACATACCCTTGGGTGAGGTTTAAATAAATAAATGAATTTTTAAAATGAATGCAGCCCATTCTATGGGCTCTTCTATGCATCCTTCAATGTTAAATTTGTTTTTTAGGAATGTCTTCTCTGCTCTATACATGTTAGGTGACTCCTGTTAAATCACACAAGTATTATCATAATTATTTGTTCATGCCTAGCTTTCCTGCTAAGCCAGGGAAACTCATCTGTGATGTTCACAGCTCTATTTCCTACACCAGCACACAGTGAGTGCCTAAGCGTTTGAATGAGTGGATCAAGTAGTGCCTTTCTATCCATGACTTTTTTCTTTTAATAGCTTCGCTCTGGGTTACGTTAAAGTGTGTTTCTTAGATCAACGTTAGTCTTTCTGAAAATGTTGCTACCAGTTTGTGGATAGATGTTATTGAATACACTGATGTGTCTGACGGTCATGGGCATCTTTCTTTATTGTAATATATTGAGAATTTTGATAGGAAAGAGATTTACTTTATGGGCCAGGAAGACTGGGAATGGTTATCTGCATTTAAAAGCCTACTGATAAAAGTTCAATTTTATACTGGCATCAGGTACATATGTATTCAGATTACTGTGTTATTTCTCCATCCCCTACCAAAATAGTTCTCATGATGTCTTTTTTCAGAAACTTATTTAATGAAAGAATGCTCAACAGTATACCTGGACACAGTAATTTCAGGTCTTTCACTTACGGTTCTTTTTGTGTTGTTGTTGTTGTTTCTCAATGTAACAAGCTTGTATAGGAGAGAACAGTTTGTAAAAGAGTTATATTGATGTTATTAAAATACATCCTCTTTTGTCTATTGTATAAATTTATGTCAGTGTTAGGCAGGGATTGAAAAATCAATGTTTTTTCCCCCAGGTGAAAATAAGGTATCCCACCTGGGTCCAAGAAAGACTAAAAGGGTTGTCAGAGTATGTGAGAGCTCTTAAAGGCTATCTTGGTGTTTTCACTAAATTGCTCTCCACACGAGCTAGAAGTTTTAACCTGTGACTGGCATTATTGGTGAAGTTAAATGCAGGCTGTCTGCAGTCTTGTATGTATTGACTTGTGGTTCAGCTCTTGTAATTGCTGCTTAGTATGTCAGAAATTCTTCACAATTAATAAGCTTTTTAACCTATGTTGTATCAAAAATATTAGACATGGTAATTTTACTCCAATAGAAAGCTACCTTTTGGTTTCAACAAAATTAACACAGGATAAGCCACAGAGAAAACACTTTACATCCTTTATAGTGTATTTTACCTTTATAATGTTTTGGTAGCTTTCTAGTTTGACAAATACAGCACTTTGAGTTTAATGAGATTTTGTATGTATCATTTGCCTCCTATACATGCCCAAACTGAGGATCAAAACCACAACCTAGGCGTGTGCCCTGACAGGGAATTGAACCGCAATCTTTTGGTGTACAGGACAACATGCCAACTAAGCAAGCCACCGAGCCAGGCCTGTGGGCTCTTTTTAAAGAAGTTTTATTGGAAAACACCCACACTGATTTGCTTGTTTGTTGTCTCTGGCTACTTCAGAAGTTAAAACAGCTGAGTTGAGTAATTTGTATGTAGCAGTGTAACACAGTGCCTGGTAAGCTAGAACCTGTTTGAAACAGATACCAACTAAAACTAGCTTAAGCAAAAATGGGATATTTATTCGGAAGATACCATGGTAGTTTCTTGGGCACCATGGGTGTTATCAGGACCACTGTATGAGGTTCTGTGGATTAGGCTCTGCATAGCTTTATTGTTGAAAGAAAACAAAACCTTCAAGAAAAACAAAAGGCTATAAAAGACAGAAAATGAGCTATAAGCAATATTTAGTCGCTTTTAGCCTTTAGAATCAGTCTACCTTGATGGCTTAATTAGAATTAGAACATAAATAAAATAGCTGTCAACTTTTGATGGTAGAGTTTAGAAAGTAGAATGTGCAGAGAGGTGACAGGGGAAGAGTAGAAGTCCTAATATCAAGAGGGATATTGTCTAGCCGAAACTGGTTTGGCTCAGTGGATAGAGCATCGGTCTGCGGACTGAAAGGTCCCTGGTTCGATTCCTGTCAAGGGCATGTACATCGGTTGCAGGCACATCCCCAGAAGGGGGTGTGCAAGAGGCAGCTGTTCGATGTTTCTCTGTCATCGGTGTTTCTAACTCTCTATCCCTCTCTCTTCCTCTCTGTAATAAAAAAAATCAATAAAATATATTTAAAAAAGGATATTGTCTATAGTTAATGAAATAAGAATAGGGATATATAGTATTAAAATTATAGAGATGCAGAAGAACTAAAAACAGCAGTGTAACTACTATAATTTGGGATAAGGAGAATGGGCTAACATCCTAATCTGTTATAAAAAGAAGTCAACAGATATTCTTAAAATTTTATATATTCAGAACTGATTCATTATCCAGAGGGAAAAAAGTTAATCTCTACAACAATGAAAAACAGAAACAAAGTTTAAAGGTGGTTGCTCTAGCATTGGAGTGGAGGGTTTAAGTATATTGAAAAACTAAGGGCTATCTGAATGATTTAGCAGTGACCTGTATACTTATGTATCTTAAGACAAAATATGGCATATTCAAGATTTTGTTGCTTTGTTTTTAATAGCTTTAGTAAGATATAATTTAAATACAGTAAGTTCACTAACTGTGCAGTTGGTGAATTTTGATAATTGTGTATATATAACCTTCACCCCAATCAAGATATAGAATTATTTTTCACTTTGAAGGCTTTGTGCTATTTGCCTCTTGTCCTTGGTAAATATTCATCTGCTTCCTATCACTTTAATTTTGCTTTTCTAGAATTTACTACAAATTGAATCCTAGAGTATTTCGTCTTTTATGTTTGACTCATTTCATTCAGTACACCTTTGAGATGTATGTGTGTTGTGTGTATGTCACAACAAAGAGTTTCCTCCTCCTTTGTCTGTAATAGTCACTGTGGTACAACAGTCAGCATCAGTCTTAGTGCTCTCAGCGTGTGCATGTTTCCTCTTTCTCTACTGTGAATCCATTAAATGTCTTTATTTTTTTTCTCTTTATCAAAGGTTGAATTAATTAAGGGGAATTTACAAAGCGTTGGACTTACACTTCGTCTTGTCCAGTCAACTGACGGGTATGCTGGGCACGTCATCATTGAGACTGTGGCCCCAAACTCACCTGCTGCACTTGCTGATCTTCAGCGCGGAGATCGATTGATTGCCATTGGAGGTAATTATGCTAATATGCAGTATGGTTTACATTTACAGAGAAAGCAGAGAGCAGATGTGGGAGTTCTCCTCTCTCCTTTATTTTCTTAAGTACATTACTTTTATAATGGGAAGAAAGTAGTAACTTTATTATAAAAATCTGAAGGAAGCCTTAACATAAAACACATATGCCATATGACACTTAGGATAGCAAAGCCATAAAATAAATCTCAGCTGTTACTTGTTTGACATAAACATGTTACTATTTCTCATCTGAAAACCACAAGTCAGTATAAATTTTTTAATATTCAGACACCCTGTATTGGTTTTACCTACAGAATAAGTTTTATTATTTATTTATTTTTTTTAGAGAGAGAGTAGAAAAGGGCGGGGATCAATGTGAGAGAGATACATGGATGGGTTGTCTCTCACACATGCCCCAACTGAACTGGGGATCAAACCTACAATCTAGGTACATGTCCTTGTCTGAGAATTTAGCCTGCAACCCTTCAGTGTGCAGGCTGATGCTCTAACCCTTGAGTGTACTGACTAAGGCATAAAAATTTTTTCTTACTTTTTTGGAAGGTTTTTGTTAATTACACAAGTAGTAAATATTATCAGAAATAAATCTAAGCACTATAAATGTATGCTGAGTGGAAAAATATACCATTTGTAAAAATATATTTATTGCAATAATGAAGTGTGATATACATTAATTTTTTATAGCTATAATTCATTTATGTGGTTCTATAATAATTTTTTAAGTATTTAGTAACAGGATTGGTGACAGTTGAAATAAGATTAACAAAATGTTAGCTATATTTGAAACTCAATAACGGAGTTCATTTTACTATTTCCTCTACTTTTGCATATGTTAGAAATATCATAAAAGAAAAGGAATCCCACCTTGGCCAGTTTGGCTTGGTAGTTAGTGTTGGCCCTCGGACTAAAAGGTTCAAGTTCGATTCTTGGTCAAGGGCATGTACCTGGGTTGCAGACCTCATGCTGGCCTGGGTCGGTGTGTGTGCAGGAGGTAACTGATCAATGTGTTTCTCACATGGATGTCTGTCTCCCTCTCCCTCTCCCTCTCTTTCTCCTTCTCCCTCTCCCTCTTTCTCCCTCTCCCTCTCCCTCTCCCTCTCCCCCTCCTTCCCTAAAAATCTCTCTAAAAATCAGTGGAAAAAAATATCCTCAGGTGAGAATTAACCAAGTGAACTGGAACTTTGACAGAACTGACAGCTGAGTAGGGAGTCTACTCTCTGGATTTGTGTCAGGTGAACAGAGGGTGGCATGTTTATTCTAACATAGTAGTGAAGACAGGAGCATGCGAAGGTCAAAGAAGGTTTTTAACTACAACGACTTTGTAATGTCAAAGGAACATCAAGGTGTTGATACCCAGAGGTAGTTGGGAATGTAGGACAAGAGGGAAGACCAAGGAAAAGGTGATAGCTAAAATTCCTGAAATGGATATATCCAGGAGGAGAGCAAAAAGCAGACACAACCGTGGGAACGTTTGCATAAAAGGGGCAGATTAGATCGCAAAAAAGCAGAGAAGAGGTCATCTGAGCCCAGTTAGTGTCATGAAAATGGGTTTAAAGCACGAGGAAGGGAAAGTATGAGCAAGGATAATTGGTGGAACAAAGGGCTGAAGGAGATGGTTAGGGGGAGAGTGGGATCCAGAGAGCAATGAAAGGGATACTCCTCTGAGATAGCTTAATGCTAACAATGACTGGCAGGAAGAAAGGTGACTTGTTTATCTTTTCAGTAAATTTGGTGATGTCATCAGTAAATTTGGTGATGTCATCCACAGGAGAAAAAGCAGGAAGGGTGGACTTCAGGGGAGTGGGAGAGGTTTGAAGCTGGTGTTTTAGAGACTCAGTTGTTTGGAGACCATTCAACAGAGAGCTAAGGGAGCCCTGAACACTATGCTGAAAACAGAGACCATCATTTGGGGCTAGATCAGATAGTCATCTCAGGAGCAGGAAAGGGAAGTGGCGGGGCTAGCCGAGCTGGGAGTCAGAAAGGCAGGGAGATGTAGAAGAGGAAAGGTCCAGGGTAAGAGGATAGAAAATCTTGATGTGAACATCACTGTAATCTTGAGACTGAGGTCAAGGAGAAAAGCAAGTGCTATCAGGAGAACCAGCTGGGCCAGGAGAGCAAAGGAGGAGTGATTAGATCTGGAAATTACCTCGAAACAGATTCAGTGAGCAGACAGAATTGGTCACAGGTGGAAAATAAAAGATTGTGGCCAGAAATTAATTTCCAAGTGAAATATTTGTTGTGGTCCAGTTCCCAGTGATGACTAGGTCTAAAGCAAGGTCTTACCTGCGCAGCTGAAGGAGGAGAGGACATAGGCTGAGGAACTCTCGGTCAGGTTATTAGATGGGGCTTTGATTTATTTAGGATGGCCCTAAGACCTTTGGAAAGCAAAGACCTGTCTCACCTTTCTCTAAGTCCTACAGAAAGGGAGAGCTTGGGTAAGTACTGTTTGGGGGAGGGTAGTGAAAGGGCAGGAAACAAATAGAGCCTGTAATGATACACTTAGAAGATCACTAGCTAGAAGAATATACTAGAAGCTGCTGGCCCTGATTGCGTTGGGGAAGGAAGAATATTGCTAGGAGATAGAGGTGAAAGGGAGATTTTCTTCAGTATACATCTTTTGAATCCTTTGGCTTTTGGATTACATTAATGTAGCACCTATTAGAAAATAGTAAAATGAAAACATAAGATAGATATTATCAATATAGGTACAGATAGTAGCCAACTTATTTAACTGTAAAGTAACTTATGCCTTCCTTGTTCTTTCTGGTCCTGAAAAGGATGAGTTTAATGGGTAAAGCTCATAAAAAGAATCTGTAAAAGAGTACATTATTCATAATATAGTATTTTGCAATTTATTTCAAACATCAGTCTCTTATTTTGACCCAATTGCTTGTAATCCCTGGTATATTTTGGGATTTCCTGCAATAAAATCATTTTCCCATCATGCTAAGTCTGGTTTAACCATTAATAAATCCTTTTTATTAGGTGTCACTCTGCTCACTTTAAATTGAGAAATAGTATTATTTAAATGTAGGAAGGAATGGGAAGCAATTAGGAGTTACCAGCTTGGCACCCTTCTAAGGATTTTCATCTCATCATTTGGTTTGAATATGTAAACATTTCTAGGATATCCAGGGTTTGAGAATCAGCACACAGATGCATCCAAAAGCCAATCATATACTTTGGAGGTTTCCCTATTTTTCATTAAATATCATGAGTTAATGGCGATTACATGTAGCAATTTAGGTAATTCTCATTGCAGTAATTTATGTTTCCCTTTCAAAATTTTAAAACAGGTGTGAAAATCACATCCACGCTGCAGGTGCTGAAGCTCATCAAGCAGGCCGGCGACCGCGTGCTGGTGTACTACGAGAGGCCGGTGGGCCAGGCGCCTCACAGCGCAGCGCTGCAGGACCATCTCAGTCAGCTGGAAGAACACTTTCTGTCAGGCTCGTGCCAGCCAAACTATGAAGAGGACCCTGGGTTGGCAGGCGACACTGAAAGTAGAGACCTGGATTTGGAGTTTGAAGACTTGGCGAGTGATGTCAGAGCACAAAATGAGTTCAAAGATGAGGCACAATCGGCAAGTCATAGTCCGAAACGTACTCCGACGACGCCTTCTGTTAGACCCCTTGGAACAGTATCACCCGTTTTAAATCGTAAATTAGTTACAGGAAGTCACCCACCACCACCCAAACTTCCATCCAAAGAAGGAAACAAACCCTTAGCCCCCAAACCTTCTGAGACAACAGACCCTGCACAAGTGTCAAAACCCACCCAGGGATTCAAACCACCCGTGCCACCACGACCGCAAGTGAAAGCTCCTTTGCCTCCTGCGGATGCCCCAGGTCAGGCGGAACCAGATGTTCTCGTTGAAAAGCCAGACAAGGTGCTGCCGCCGCCTCCTGCAGATAAACCTGCTGAAAAGCAGGCGAAACATGTGGATCACATGGAAGATGTCGCTGCACCTAAGCAGTCTTCAGCAAAGCAAGAAGTGGGGAAAGACTTGGCCTCAGAAAGTTCCTGCCCTCCCAAGGACAGTTCGGATGACCCTCAAACATGGGAGTCTTCAGAAATTCACTATCGGAATAAGCTAGGAAAATGGGCAAGAGCCAGAGCCACCTGCTTCTTCGACATAGAAGCCTGTCACAGGTACTTAAACATCGCCCTGTGGTGCAGGGATCCTTTCAAGTTGGGGGGGCTCATCTGTTTGGGGCACGTGAGCCTGAAACTTGAAGAGGTGGCTTTAGGATGCCTCACGACATCCAACATGGAATACCTTTCCAAGTTCAGACTGGAAGCCCCAACGCCCAAGGCCATGGTCACGAGAACCGCTCTCCGCAATCTGAGTATGCAAAAGGGATTCAATGACAAATTTTGCTTTGGTGACATTACTATCCACTTCAAATATTTGAAGGAAGGAGAAGCGGACCACCATCTAGTTACTAACTTGGAGAAAGAAAAAGAACTTCATTTGGTCGAAGAGGTTTCTGCGCTGCCGAAAGAGGAGCCCTTAGTGGGACAGCTGGGCTTAACAGAAAACAAACACAGTTTTCAGGACACTCAGTTCCAGAACCCAACGTGGTGTGATTACTGCAAGAAAAAAGTCTGGACTAAAGCCGCTTCCCAGTGCATGATCTGTGCTTACGTTTGCCATAAAAAATGCCAGGAAAAGTGTCTCGCTGAGATTCCTCTCTGTGGAGCGACCGAGAGGCGGATAGACCGGACCCTGAAAAACCTCAGGCTGGAAGGACAGGAGACCCTCCTGGGCCTGTCTGCTCGTACTGATGCTGAAGTTAGCAAGTCCGTCACTAGAACCACAGGCCTGACCAGGCACATTATCAACACTAGCTCTCGTTTGTTAAACCTGCGTCAAGTCTCTAAAACTCGCCTTTCTGAAGCAGGAGCTGATCTAGTAGAACCTTCACCAAAACATACACCCAACACGTCAGACAATGAAGGCAGCGACACAGAGATGTGTGGTCCAAACAGTCCTTCTAAACGGGGAAACAGCACAGGAATAAAGTTAGTGAGGAAGGAGGGCGGTCTGGATGACAGTGTCTTCATCGCAGTTAAAGAAATTGGCCGTGACCTGTACAGGGGCTTGCCGACCGAGGAGAGGATCCAGAAACTCGAGTTCATGCTGGATAAACTGCAGAATGAAATTGATCAGGAGTTGGAGCACAACAATTCCCTTCTTAGAGAAGAAAAGGAGACCACCGATACAAGGAAAAAATCTCTTCTTTCTGCCGCTTTGGGTAAATCAGGGGAAAGACTACAAGCTTTGACACTTCTTATGATCCACTACAGAGCAGGCATTGAAGATATCGAATCTTTAGAAAGTCTGACCTTAGACCAGCACCCAAAAAAAATAGGCAAGTACACAGATGACACAGAGGAAGACTTTGATAATGAAATAACCCAACTAATAGACGCTCAGCCATTCAGCAGCATTTCAGATGACTTATTTGGCCCATCCGAGTCTGTATAACAGACCCATTTATTTAATCTTTAAGCATTTGGGGGGCGGGGGGGAGTATCTAAAGTACCACAGATATAATCATGTCTAAACCCCCTTATAATGCACTCTGGCCTGCTTCTCCACAGTTCCTTGCTTGTGTTAAGAGTGGAAAGGTTGTTCCGGCAAAAAACATGACCAGCTCACTAAATTGGTTGTTTCGGATTGCATTTATAGCTATGCTTTTTGGATTTATACTTGGAATTTATTTTTACTAATTTATTTTTAACTTTTCTAATTATGGAATTATGTAAGCTGACTTCATGTTTATGTATGTTGATGTCTCGTGCTATTTTTTTTTTTTGAGTTAGTGTTAAATTGGATACTGTCCAAATTCTTGTAATGTTTTTATTTCTATCACGGTTATAACAGATTGTTGCATGCCCAAATCGACAGCAACAACCACTGAGGGAACAGTTTTTGAATCTTACTTTGTGTTATGAAGTTTGTCATGCTACTTGAGATTTTTATTACTTTGGGGTCCTGGGGGGTGCTTTTTGTTTTGTTTTTGCCAAATGTAACATGAAAGCAGACACTATGGCTTTAGTCAGTTAATGCTGATTTAGTTAAAAAAACAAAAAACAAAAAAAACCTTTACATTAATATTGCTTGCTTCCTATGCCTCTGTGAAATTTTTTTCTAAAGCTTTTGTGCAGTTGAAGTAGAGTGAGAAAACAGTGATTGATTTGAAGAGCTTGCACTGAAAATGAAAACAAAATGTATCAGAGTAAATATAGAACGCAGTTGGTAAAGAATTTTGTAGAGAGGGAACAGGATTATTAAAAAACAGCAACCAGTAGGATTTTGAAATATAATTTTTCAAAATGTTGCTTTCTTATTAAATGGAAGTTCTAATCATTTATGATTAATTTTCATCTCCAGTTCTTCCATAGGAAATAAAGCATGTGCAAGGATGTTTAAAGTTTCAGAGGACTGTTCTTAAAATGACCGTGTTGATAACTGGTTTGGCTATTTTTGTTTTAGAAACTTTTATGCAGGAGAATGTTGTGAAGGAGAAGAATCATGCAAAATAGGTTTACTGTTTTGTCTGACATCCTGCAGGCTTAAAAGAATGGTGGCCATTCTGAATGCTTCTGTAATTCAGACTATCTTCATTCATTTAAAAAAAATTAAATAAAAGTAGACAGTATAGATACATAGGAATTGGAACTAGTTGTCTGAAAAGGAAGATCTACTCTCATACTTGGTCATCGTGTGGATCCCCGTAACACTTGACTGAGGAAAACCGTGAGCATGACCTCTGTTGATATTCCATAAAAGTTTTGGCCTTTTACTTGCCTATAAAAAGATACATCTCTGCATAATTTTCCCTTTGGTAGCTAACTACTACAATAATTGATATGTAGTAAAACTGACATGAATTTAAAACCAGATGGGATGGTTTGTATGGCTGGCAGAAAAAAGCATTTTAATATGGATTCTGGCCCACATCTGTAGTCCAAGACTCCGTACAAGAGTTTAAGATTAAGCAAGCCACTAAAGGGCGTTATCTCAGTTTCCCCACCTCCAACATAGGAACAAACAAGGTTTAGGCTACCTCACAGGACTGTTGTGAGGGAAACAATAGGGTAACCAAGTGCTCTGCACAGTACAAAGCCATTCAAATAACAGGTAAGACGTATATGGGCCATAAAAACATTACCGAAGGAAGGGAAGTTACATCTTTACAAATCAATAGCCAATTCTCACTTCTGCTGTAAAGTGAAATATTAGGGAAAAATGCTTTATTGGCCAAGTTAATAACAAAAATATAGCTGTGTATGCCCCCCTTTGTTTATGTAAGCATGCTTGCATCTTAAAAGAACACGGCTATAAAAGTCCTTATACACAAATTTCTCTGGAAGCTAAAATGTTAATCTGTAACATATGCTTGAAACAATCTGCCCAATATAATAACCAACTTCCATCTTATGAAAAATAACTTACCATCCACAACCTGGGAGGTGGAGTGTCTAAGTGGCTGGTGCTTAGGGATCGTACCACGGAAGTTTTGGTGACATCCAAGCATGCTGCTGAAATGGGTGCATTCGAAAGGGCTGTAGAAGTAACGCAAAACTTCGATTTCATAAAAATCTGCTTGTGCTTTAAAATATTTAACTCTGTAGAACCAGTTATGGAAAGCTCAGTAATGCTGCTCATGATATTTATAAAATAATACCTTTAAAATAGTGCAATATTTTATTATATATATATAGTGGGAGGAGCACCCCCACACACACACCAGTTGCACTCGAGTGCAATGGGAACACCCCAAATTGCCCAGGGGAGAGTGAGATATAAAGTCTCAATGAAAAGTTGTATTATATTAAATTCTTGATGTTATGTCGCTGCCATGCTATGTTATCAATAGCTAAAAAATGAGAGCAAAACCACCACGGAAAAAAGAATATCTTCATTTGATGGCATCTGAAAAGGGAACTGCTGCCTCTCTCTGGAATGACAGCCTGATGAAATCTGGCCACGAAAACAAGCTCAGTATCCATTTGTGCTAAATCAAATGGCTATTTTGAAAATTGCCTAAGAGCATTAACTTCTGGTTTTACTTTTGTTTTATTTATGGATTTGCCTCTGCTCCCTACTAATAATAAGACTAGTGAAAGTGTATTTTCCACATTGTTATTTAATGATTGGTTTAGACATTGAGACCCTCACGTTGAGCAACATTTCAGCCCTGTTTTGGAATCAGAATTAACATGCTACATTTTTTTATGTCAAAACCTACATTCTTTAATATCAGAACTAGTTGAATACTATGTGGCCACTTGTAACTTTTGAAAAAAGAAAACAGCTTAATATTTGAGGGTACTGTCATGTTCAAAATTTAAGTAACTCTGGATTTTTTTGAAAGACAGTTTGAAAATACTTGGCTCTTATTAATAGTAAGATAATTCTTGAGTTCCCTAAAAGTAAATAAATTTAAAAGCACTCTAAATATGTATTGTCTTTATTTCTAAATTGAGATAATAGCTTTCTTTTAAAAAATGGGGTGGTCCCTCAATCCTTTTTAAGCCATGGACCCCCTTACACAACTGATTAAAACGACTCTCGCCCCTAAAAGATACACACATGCACATCGTAAGTTTTATAGGACCTGGGGCCACAGGCCCACTGTATCACATGGCCACATAGTTTAGTTATTCTTATCAAATGTATTGGCTCACAGCAATCTGGAAAATAATACAACTTTCCAGACACAAGGATAACACTGCATGTTTCCACACTGACGACATGTGACTAGTTAACATATTTCAATTTAAAACACTTTTCAAAGCCAAAATGTGTGGTTCACTAACCTGGAGAGGAAGTTACCTGATGCCTGCAAGCAGAGGACAGTTTTTAATTAATAGTCAAGACAATACCTTATGTATTTGATTCCAAGGATAATGTCTGGTTTATAAAGGAACACAAATAGGCACAGTAGTGTTCAGAAGATTTATTATGTAAACTAGCTAACACATGACGTAGGCAGGTATGCTTGGCAGTCAAAAGGAAGAATTGACTATTCATCGCTACCTCATTACAGTTTTTGTATCTGTTTGCCAGGTACACTCACCAAACCACCTCTGCTCAAAGAAACTCAGAGCTGTATGTTCTTTGTTCTGACATACATAAGTTTTTGTTTTTTTTAAAGTCTTTTTCGTCTTGGCTAACCCCAGAATATTAAGTCACATAAAAGACCCTGCAACTCCCCATTTTTCCTGTTAGATAAAACTGGTATCTTTTGGTCCTAAAACAATTCTAAAAAATTCCACATAGCTTTTATGTTCTCTCTAAGGATCAATAGCAGGCTTGCCTTTCCCAGTCATTTTTGAGGAGACCAATCTTAAAGGCAAAAATAAAGTAGGAATAACTTCTGTGGTTATTACCACGTTCTTTTTGAAGGTTCTCCCCAATGGGCGTGGAGGACCCGCCTCAGGGCCATGGGCATGCGCCTCGGGAGCACCTTCCAGAAGCCACTGGCATCACCTGCCCAGTGTGAATTGGTGAGCAGGAAGCTTGTGTGCTTCCAGTTCACAGCACCTGACAGCCAGGCTGCACATCCCTCTCAGGCCCAAAGGACAGCTCCATAAAGCAGATGGAAAAGCAGCATCCGCTAACTTTCCTAGAGAATTAAAAGGCTGAAGAGTCCTCTCTCTTACAGTATTTAGTTCCTCGTCGCTCAAGTTAAACAATTTTTAACAGAAAAATCAACATTAGGTGATTTTCATTTACAATTACAGACCTACAGAACTAACAAGTAGTATTTGAGGCATTCCACACTATCACCACTGCAATCATATCTCATATAAAACCTGGTGTAAACTGACAGTGTTCACTAACACAGTATTTGCTGTTACACTGGAAAACACGACAATGCCATGCTTAAAGAAACGACATCACATAGCATTAGACGACACAGTAACACAGAGACATTTTCAGATGTTTGATTTTTTTTTTCCTGCCTGTGAAAGGGGGGTGTCTGGACTACCCTATTACTTGTACCTGGTTTCGTAACACGATTCAAGACATCATTTCATTCATCTTCATTTAAAATTTTTCACATTGATGTGACCCAATTTCAGAAGTCTAGAAAAGAATAGTTTCAGACAACTCAAAATTAAAACACTTGGATGACCTCCAAAACAGGTCAAAGATGATATAGTCTGATTTTTTTGTTCATGTCATAGCAGCTATTAGCTTTTCTCCTTTATTTCCTAACCTTGAACTAGATGTTGATATGTCTTGCCATACTTACACAACCTTGACTGTTGCATAATCTACCCTCAATGTTCCTTCATCAAGATAACCATTTATCTTAAGGGGAAGCGTCCAGTTGTTCGTTTAGATATTTTTCTCTGCTTTCAGAACATTCGCTATTTTCCCTCTCATTGGCTTCAATGTTTGCTGCCAACCACATGACATGTCAACATGTAATTTACAACCAGCTGTTTCCAGGTAGGCGATTACATATAGATAACTAGTGCCAGCTAAGTTTTACCGGCAAATCCAAACGGTAACTGCCTCCAGTTCTTGTCCTCTGCGTTGGAGATAACTAGCTTTTAACTCATACATATATTGATAACAACAGGTTGAATAACTCTAGGCGTCACTACATAACCAAACGCTGTCTTAACTTGATTGTTGTTCAGACTTCCTTCTGGTGTCTTATTGTCGGAAGTGTCTCGGAGATAACGTGTACTTTAGTTTTAAACAATGATTACCAATATTCAGAAAAAAATATAAGGTAATTTTGGGGTGTTTTGGTTTTTCTTTTGGCCCAAGTGTTCGTGAATGTAAGTTAAAAAATTATATCTGATTTGGATTCGAATATTTATAGATTTACACTATATCTATTTCGTCAAAATATATTGTATAATATTTAATAAAATCAAATACATAAAATAAAGTTTTCGACACTTTATACAAACCCCTAGAAAAGCTGCTTTTTCTTTATAAGGCTCTTGGCAATCGACCATACCCACGGAAAAGAAAGGGTGACGGCTTCACCGGGGATTCACCGGGAACGTGCGGGGCGACTAACACGGTTCTGTACGAGTCACTGCACGGGGAACACTGCTTCACACGACGAAATGCTCTGGTGACTTCTGAGGGTCTCAGTCACTTTCAGACTCTTCATCACCCAGCGGATACGCCTGGACATTGTTCTGAGTGTACATTTTTGTCTTAACCGTGCTGTTGTGATCCATGAGAATAGCCTAAAAGAGAGCAAAGGGCAGATACATTAACTTACTCTTTCAGAAAGATGGTTTTAACCGTTTCTAAGGTTTACGTGTGTGTGTGTGTGTGTGTGTGTGTGTGTGTGTGTGTGTGTGTGTGTAGATCGGTCCATCCACTATTCAACAGTCATTTGGTGCAACTGCAAGCTTCCTGGCCCAGAAAGCCTGGAGTTCTACAAGGTGAACATTTCGGGGAATAGGCTATCCCACAAGGGGTCTGTCTCCCCAGTATTTTCATTCTAACCGCAGGGCCATTAAGTGGATTCGGGGGACCCTGTGAGCTCTGACGAAAGGCATATGCAGGTTAGGTTTAGGAAGTTATACTGAGAATCTTGGAACTGGAGGAGGGGTGGTCCCTGGAGGTCTCCCAATCCAACCGGTTTGCAGACTTCACGCGGCAACACTCAATCAGGACGTGCTCTCGCCTGAGGACACCAGCTCTGGTGTTAGAAACGCCCCGGATGGACGGGACTGCCTCCATTGTCTGTGGATCTTGTTCTGATTCCCACCACCCTTACGGGTACTAAGACCCCTCTTCCATTTCCTGCAGCATTTTTCTTTTTAAATGAGCTAACGCCTTGGCTGAACTGTAGGAGCAGCAGCAGCCCGGGGGCCAGCCTTCAGTCGGCGGCTCTCAGAGCAGTAGCTGGCCAGGCAAGCATCTTACGCCGCACCCGCTGGTCCTCTGGCCTCACCATTTCCTCCCTGCGCCTGATAAGCCATCAGGCTGCCAAGGAATGATAACACCACAGCCACTGACGGACGTCTGCTGCCTTGGCTGGGAGATCAAGGGTCTGACCAGCAAAAGGAAGCTCTCATCTCACATCACAGAGGGAAAACCAGGAGGATGAGACAGGGACCGAAGTCAGAGGTTTGGGTTAAGAGCAAGAATGACTGAGCACTTACTTCCTTGGGTGCCAGACCTGGGCTGAGCCCTCTGTGGGATCCTTTCCTTTAATCCCCCCAACAACCCTATGAGGTGCCAGTCCTGCTCCAGGGCCCGTGCCAGCCCTTCCCTCTCCCCCAGGAGTCTTACTGTCTCCGGGTGACAGAGGCACTGGTTGGTGATTAGCCTTAACCAGATCCTTGCTGCACTGAGAACTTCCTGAGCCCGATTTGGACAAAGTCCTGTGCTGGGGCCCGTCAAACACAGATGGAAAGGGAACCAACACAACCAGGCTGGAAAAGAGGAGAGTCCCGAGAGACCCACGTACAGGGCTGGGGAGAGGTGGCTGACTGAGCAAGAAGCAGGGAGAGAGGGGGCCTCTGTCAGAGTATTTCCTCAGCACCTCCATGCCTCTTCTCTGAGTCCAACGGGTCGTGAGCAATTCAAAGTGACAGACAGAGGGAGCCAGACTAGGGTGGCCTGGCGGTTGGGCCCCGACCTATGAACCAGGAGGTCACAGTTGCTGTGGGCTCAATCTCCAGTGTGGGGCGTGCAGGAGGCAGTCGATCAATGATTCTCTCTCTCTCTCTCTTGTCATTGATGGTTCTATCTCTCTCTACCTCTCCCTTCCTCCCTGAAATCAACAAAAATACTTTTTAAATGACCAAGTTAAATCCTATATAATAAAGGGCATAGTGCTAGATCTATTTTTCAAATATATTGAACAGATTGATGAATGCAAAAAAAAAAAAAAAAAAAAGCCCCAAGCTAATACAGGCTGCATGGCACCTAACGTGAGGGTCTGCGTCTGTCTTTAAATCCCCTGTTTGGGGGAAATCATGAAAGGGCAGTTCATGAAAAGCCAAAGCACCCAGGTCCACGTCAGCTCCGTCAGAGAGAACTCGGGCTGTGCTCCCAGCAGAACATTGCGAGAGAGCGAATGTCATATCCATTCCTGAACCACACAGGCCACCTCCCTGCCTGCTCTCTCCCATTCACCCCTTACCTCAGGGCCTCTGTTTGTAGACAGAGGAGAGTCTGTCACCATTCCATGTAACACAAAGCAGCAGCACCCACCGCCTCCAGCTATGCATGCTTCTCCGAAAGGTTAAAATGGCTGATGTATTTCAAATTCAAACTCAGAACTGATAAACTTTGAACATATGCAAAAGACGAACACTTCACACTCTATCTTGCCTGTGGCTATGATTCTGGTCATGAAAATTATGAATTTCAACTATTAGATGTATGCCCAAAGGGACATATACAGCCTTTTCCCTGAAGGGCCTGTTACCTGCACTAGAACAACCTCCAGAACCTTAGGCAGTGAGGCCTGAGCCGCTCTCACAGAAAGCCGCCAGGGCTGGGAGAAAGGCGATCAGCGCCAGCAACGGCTGATCGCAGGAGGATGTGCAGGAGGACGTGCGGGCGTGCCCAGCCTGATGTCCATATTTTCCAGATGTTCAAGAACCAGACAGTGACCCCATGTTTATATTTCTTTGACAAAAGAGTCTACTGGCTGCTAATCTACCTACGTACAGAAGTAATTTTACTCTACAAATATATAACCATAATGCTTGATTACAGTAAAGGAAGTAGCTTGTCCCATGTGGTGTAAACGAAAAAGGAACTCTTTACCATTTATGTTTGGAGAGTTCCCCCCAAAAGTAGCAGGAACATACTTTAGAAGGAAGAAACATACCTCAACATGGGGATGGGGTGGCGAGAAGAGATGAACCAAAGAACGTACATACTTACAGACATGGACGGGGGCAACAGGGTGGTGAAGACTTTGGGGGTTGGGGGGAAGAGCTGGGAGGGGCAAATAGGAGACATCTGTAATACTATCAACAATAAAAAGTATATAATAAAATCAAAATCAAAATGAAACCTAAAGTCTGCCAAGGAAAAATAAATCAAGGATCCAAAACACGGTGCTTCAAGGATCAAGAAACACTTCAACGCATCCCCAAGTGTCTCACCATTTTTTCTTCTGCGGCAGGTGGACTTCGAAGAAGAAAGCAGAGAGGAGCAAAAAGAATGTTAACTACTCCAATGATTCTCATGAGCCACGGAAATCCAATTGCCTTCGCGATAGCCCCGCCAGCGGAAGGACCTTGGGGAGACAGAGAAGGGGGTGAGCTCTCTGCAGACGCCGCGCCAGGGAGAGGCGCGAAGGGTCCGGTGGTGTGCGGTGGGCGCGCTCTGTCGTGCCGAGACAAAAGGAGGCTCTGTCAGGCCGGCGCCTTACCTATCGCGTATCCCATACAGAAAGCCACGTCTGCAATGGCGTACACACTCCCGTAGACGGACACGTGCCGCAGGTCCACCAGGTAGCCCATGATGGGCATCATGGAGGAGTCCACCATGCCTGTGGGCCAGGAAACAGTCCAGAGAGAACGGTTGCACACTGAAGATGGGATGGATGTCAGGGTGGTCCTAACCTCACAGCCCTGCTGCCTCCTCCCCTTCTGGCCAAATTCCCCACCTGCATATCCTGAGCCAGACTCCCTACAGCACACCTCTGGCTGAAGGCAGGGGGGACCAGACCAGGCCACCAGGTGCCTGTTCCCTGCCTTGTCTCACCTCGTCCTCACTGTCAAGGTGGCCTGTCCTCCGACAGAGGGCTCTCAGTCCTCTGGTGGCTCTCCCGCGTTCTCCAGAGCCAGCGGCTGCTGCTCACTAGACCTCGGAGCCCCGCCTGCTTCCTGTTACTATTTCCCAGGTTCACTCGTTTCTGGTCCACTCGTCCCTTGTCCTCAACGAGGAGACACGCCTACATGCCTCACCCAGTCTCCTCTCCATGCACACGCTGGCCCCACACAGGGGGCAGGGCCAGAAGGATTCAGAACAAGGAGTCTGAGGGGTCATCTGGCCCTCCTCACGGAACTAAAACCTAAAGAAGTCTGCTCATTACGAGGGTGTGTGTGGGGTGAGGGGGAGAGGGGGAGACAACAACAAAAACACTACCACCACCAAGACCAGTGGCACAGTTTCTGGTCTCCTGAGCAGTCGGGGACAGGGAGTGTGGATACAGCCCAGCTGGCAGGCCTCAGGGGTTGATCTTCAGTCTATGAACCAGGAGGCGCAGTTCCATTCCTGGTCAGGGCACGTGCCCGGGTTGTGGGCTTGATCCCCAGTGGGGGGCGTGTAGGAGGGAAGCCCATCCATGGTTCTCTCTCATCACTGATGTTTCTATCTCTCTCTCCCTCTCCCTTCCTCTCTGAAATCAATAAAAATATATATATTTAAAAAAACAAAACAAACACATGTTCTGGGTTCAAATCCTTGGCCGGATGAGTGCAGTCACGCCTTCTCTCTCTGAACATCGGTTCCCCACCTATCCCATGGGCCTGGCCGTGACTGACCAGACCACGTCTGTGCCTGCCCCCAGCAAACCACTCATTCCCTCACTCCCAAGCCCCAGGGGCTGGAGGAGGAGAAAAACTCCCTTCCTTCGCTGGTGTCTGCTGATCACCGAGCACGTGCACGGTGTGGGGACACGGGAGAACAAGAGAGCTGGATGCTAAGCAAAGGGTTGAACATGAATTCCAATGGTGACCGGTGCTACGGAGGCACGTGGGAGGACACCTCTCCGCTCAGGGGGCCTAGCCTGGTCCAAGGGACCAGCCAAGGCTCCGCTCTCTTCGTACCCAGGAATGCCTGCCTGCCTTTCCCTGCGATCGACTAAAGCACTGATTGGTGTCGTGATCGATCTACAGGTTCCAAAGGAGAAACACGCGTGAACTGTTCATCCGAAATATTATACTAACAGGGTTTCCCTAACGTGGGCGCGTCTCGTTTGCCCGTGAAAATTCCTGCAGCACGGGTGGTCCCCGCTGCACCGGTCCACCTGTCCTGTACCAAATCTCACCAAAATCCCCGGGAGGCCTGGTCCCCCAGCCTCATCAGAGAAGATCCATTCTCAGGTCTGAGTCCAAAGGACCCTGCGTGGGGGGAGCCCTGGTTTGCCCAAAGGTGCGTCGGCGCCTGCAGACACCAAGCTTCTGAAAACGCTGGAAGCAAATGACTCGTGCGTGGAAGCAGGCGTTTTGCTGTGGGCGAGCTGCAGGCTGTCCTGGGGCTTGGCTGCCCACAGCCTGCGCTCACGCTTCTAGAAAGTTCAGGTTCAGCCCAAGTGATCGGAAATCGTTCTCAGCGACGGGGGAAAATGACTGTTTGAAGTGGAGGCGCCAGGCTCCTGGGACTTACCAATTGCAAAGCCAATTCCGAAGTTGGGGGCGATGAGTCCATAAATGCTTTGGGCAAAAGGAAGCTGTGAGAGGAAATGGAATGTTACACTAAAATCACGTGATAGGCAACTGAAACTAGCTTGGGAAATCTTCCAAAAATGCTGTCTCCAGCTAGGCACGTGTGTTCCCTTCAAAGGAAACAGCGGGGAGGAGGGTAGGCTCTGGGAGAACCAGACCCTCCCCTCCCATCTTTCCAGCTGGAGCCAAAACGAGTTTTGAGATCACCCCGAAACACTGGTCAATTCCCAATGCGCAAGATCGGCCTGGTCCACACTCCCTTTCTGGCAAGGACCCATAAACCCATTTGGGTAGATCCTGGCCACAGGAAGATGAAGTTTTATCCTAGAAAAAAAGCATCTTGCTATTGTTCCAGGGTAGTCACCCTAAAGTGCTTAAGACACTGTAACGTTTAAGGTGATGGGGGTAGGGGTGGGTGACATATCTTACCTAATAAGAGAGAAACATGCAAACTAACCAACACTCCACCACGCCCACAGCCAATCAGAGTAAGTATGCAAATTAACCCAACAAAGATGGAGTTTAATTTGCATAGGCAGGCGCAGAGCCTATGAAGGGGAAGAGGGCGGTGGAGGGAGCTACTGAAGTGGTGCTCCAGATAGAAGCCAAGACTTGCCGGCCCCGGGGTGGCCCAGGAGTGAAGCCAGGGGGAGGAAGGCCTATTCTTGCAGGAATATCGTGCAACAGGCCTCTAGTAATGATATAATAAATCCCAACTGGCATTCAATGAAAATACATCCCTTGGAGAGTCTTGTCCAAAATTTCTAAGATGATAAAAAAAAAAAAAAAATGGAAGAAAATGAAAGATGTAAGAAAATGCATTATCAGCAAGCTTTAAAACTGCTGAACAGTATTTCTTGGTGATTCTTGCCCAAAGCAAAAAGTGCTCCTTACTGACCATCTCCACTTGTTAACTGCGGCCTTTTACTCACCCATAAAACGCTGACCCCCACAACGATCATCCCCAGCAGGGCACAGAGCCACCTGTGAACAGCAACAACAACCCGCCATCAACCCATACGCCTTCCCCTCCCCCCCTCCCGCCTCCCCCCTACCCCCCCGTCTGCATTTCAGTGGAAATCACAACAACTGCTTGTCTCTGCCAAGACAGAGAGACACAGAGCATTTTTATTTTTATTTTTTGAAAGAATGGGGTGATGAGAAGACAGGGAGCGTAGCTTCCACCACATCTTACCTCCCGATCTTGTGTGCGAGTATCCCGAAGATATTGGTTCCAATGAGATAAGAGATGCTCGCTGGCAAGAAGGCGACGCCTGTGAGATGAGAGGGACACCTTATCAGCACTGATTCCGGGCGCGCTGGGAAAACTAATCATCGCAGCCGCTGCTGGTGGCGATGAGAGCCGAGGAGATGCAGCCCGGGGGCCGGTACGGGGCAGCTAATATCCGGCCGGCCGGACCCCGCACGGCTCGTCCGTCCACAGAGCTGCGGAGACGCTGCAGACACGGAATTCATTTCTCTATCGGCGCCTCCATCTCTGCCTGGCGGGGAGCTCTGCGCGTAGACCCGTACCCACGGCGCCGTGGTGTTAGGGCAGGGCACCTGCCGCCCCACACATGGCCCCGGGGCCTGTCCCCTCCTCCCCCTTCCTCGTTGTAGGACCGAACACAGACTCGGGAGGCTGACCCAGGGCGGACCGGGCTCAGCTACCAGGGGATCTGTCCCCAGCAGCTCCCTCTCTTCCCTACTATTCAAACAGGAAACCCTCTTTCGGAAAGACGGCTTTTCAGACTCTTAAGAGCTCAAAATTCCAGTGTTTCTTCTTGAAATCAGGGATACCAGATTAGACTCTGCGCCTCGCACACACCTATCGTGTTTCCCCGAAAATAAGACATCCTCCGAAAATAAGACCTACTGCATGGAAAGATAAGACATCCCCTGAAAAATAAGACCTAGCGCAACTTTGGGAGAAAAAATTAATATAAGACACTGTCTTATTTTCGGGGAAACAGGGTAGTAAAAAATAAAAAAATAAAAAGTTGCTTTGATTTCAAATCTCCGTTCTTTCTCCAGCAATGATGGGGGAGGCATCAGGTCGGGACCTTGAGCAGGGAGGGCTGGGCGGCCCGGGCTCGGGGAAGGGCTGGGCACTGGGTCCTCGCTCTTGTCAGCCAGGCTGCCCGCCCACCAAGGCGCAGAGGGGCCTGGGGGGCTCCGGCAGAGGCGGCCATGGCCGCAGACACCGCACTGCAGATGGCACAGAGCAGGGGGAGCAAAGCGATTCTCCTGAGCAACCAAGTCTCGCTCGGAGCGAGGAAGGGGTGCCGTCCCGGTGGAGAGGGGGCCGTCTGGCGTGGATGCTGAGCCCACTGGGTCTCCTGCGGAACCAAGGCGGCCAGCGACCTAGCCCGATGGCCTGGGCTCTCACTGACTGTAAGGCCATAAACCAGCCCCAGGCTGTGTCTGGGGGGAGAGGACGAAGCATCGTAAGTGCCCTGGGCAGGGGCTGCCACATTCAATTCGGGTCCCCAGTCAATGAAGAGGAGACATCAAACCATCAGCAAAACATCTCAGCCCAGGCGCACCGCACAGCCCCTGCAGGGCACTCCCGGCCACGGCCACCAAACCCCGAGAAACACCTGGGGCCCCACCCACCCTGGGGACCAGAGCAGAAGGAAATCTGGGAACACTGCTCAGGCTGGCAATGAGGCACGGGAGACAGCCGCTCCCCTAAGCTCTGACCCCATGAAGTGTCACACGGAACGCCACTCCGTCATCCTGGCCCCGCAGCTCGGCAGGATGACGGGCATGGACCCGCCCTGGGGACCAAAGCCCCGGACACACAGGAGCCCGCCGGTCCCAGGCCTTACCCAGCTGCCACTTGTGGGAACACATGGTCTCCATCATCCAGATGGGCAGGGACGGCTCCAGCATGGCGATGGCCATGTTTGCAAAGCAGATGGACCCTTGAAGGGAGCAAGACGGTTAGTGGGCGTCTGAGGCCCAAGTGCCCCTTAAGCACCTCCTAGCACAGCTAACCCGCACGTGCCCACGGCCAGTGCCAGCAGCGTGGAGGCTCGGAGCTTTCCCTACTTTTGTAAGGAAGGGAAATGGTGGACCAAGGGACCAGTGAAGAGGGTTGGTATTACTATTTATTATTATTATTATTATTATTGTTATTGTTATTATTACAACTAGATTCCCAGAGTTTGGAACTGGAGGCAACTTTCAAGATCACTGGGTTTAACTTTCCTGACGTACGAACAAAGAACGGAAGCTCCGATCGCTAATGGAGGGACTTGTGTGAGGTCACAGACCACACACAGACTCGGGCCAACGGAGGCCACTGCGCCTGCCTCTCCTCCCCCGCCCCCCCCCCCCCCCCGCCAGCCTGACCCCAAGCACTATGCTGACCACCAAATCCAGGCCAGGCGGCACGCCACCGGCCCCTTGTCGGGCAGCCCAGGCCTGTGTCACTGGGATGGTCCTGAGGGGACGGCGCTTGGATGAATGCTGCACGGAGCACAGATCTTCCTAATGAAGGAACCGTCCCCGGGAGAGTGCCTCTGAGCCCACGAGGCCAAGAGCCAACGGCCTGAGGCCTTCTGGCCACAGGGAGTCTCCCGCCCGGGCCGCCCTGCTGGGCAGGACGCCGCGGGGTCTGCCCTCGGGCCTGCGGTTGGTGTTGGTCACCGGGTCAAGGTGAGTGAGAACCCCGGCCAGACGCCTGCAGGGAGGCCACGGATCCTTCCGCAAGCAGGGACGGCCTTTGCCACCAGCGCAGAGCAGGCATGACCCACCACAAACTGGGGGTGGGGGGCCTCCGGACGCGGACAGCTCTGCCCCAAAGGAAAAGTTGCTCCGGCAGCTGGCCGAGCGTCAGAAGCGAGTGACGCAGGGAAGCCGCTGGAGTGACGCACACCCTCCTGGTGTCCTTCGTGCCCCTGCACAGCCCAGCATCTCCAGCCGCTACGTGAACGCTGGTCCTCGCCCCCCGCCCCCACCCTCCCCGGGGCTGAGGAGGACTGGGGTGCGGGGGAGCCCCACCTGCGGCGATGAGGATGTAGGGGTCCTTCAGCAGCGTGGTCAGCGGCGTCCCCTTCTGGCTCTGGGGAGAGAGCGGGGCGAGGGTCAGAGTAGGGGACGAGGCGGGGATGGCGCCCCCCGCCCCCGAGGCTCACCTCCGGCTGCACCCGGTTCGGCTGGAGCACGCAGAGCTGGATGGCTGCGGGAAGAGACAGGAGGCCGCTCAGAGGCCCGCTGGGCACCCGGGCCCAGGCCACGGCCACGGCCACGGCCACAGCCTCAGCCACAGCCACGGCCCACGCGGGGACTCACCTCCATCCAGGAGCACCAGGGCGGCCAGCACCAGGAACGGGGCCGTCTTCCCCACAAACTCGTAGAGCACGCTGCCGAAGGGGGGGCCCACTGCGGGGGGGGGGGGGGGAGGGAGAGCTGATCCTCCGGCCGCGGCCGATGCCCCAGCCCCCGCCCCCACAGGGACCGTCCGCTGGTTCCTCGTGCTTGGCGCTCCGTTTTGTTCTAGAAGCTGCTGGCGGTGGCCATCCTACTCTACATCCAGCGAAGTGCCCTGGCTACGTCCTCCCAGCAGCCCTGCATCGGGGCCACGGGCCAGAGCCCCGAAGGGTCAGTCACCCCAAAGTGAAGGTCAGAGGGGAGCGGGATCCTGGTTGGCGAGGACTCCATCCCTTAAGCACCAGCACAGACAGGGCTCGGGGGGGAGGGGACCCCGATCTCTGGGGGGCAGATACCATCCCTGGTCTGGGAGGCCAGGCAGGGAGGTGGGGTTGGGGGTCCAGACTCAGAGGCGGGGAGGTCCTCTCAGCGTTAACCCAGCGACGTGTGAGAGGACAGCCAGGATCCTGGCAGACCACCCTGGTCCAGCCTCCTGTACGCCTGGGCCTGGGAGGCCTGGGGCTGGTTTCCCAAGGTCCCCGGGGCAAGTCTGGCAGTAGAGGCAGGGAGGAGCCCAGGCACACACACACACACACACACACACACACACACACACACACACCCCGTCAGGAAGGCAACCCGAGAGCAGGGAAGGAAAAGGGACAGTTATGGGGTCCGGGATGAGGGACTGTCGCTGTCCAGCGCAGACAGGCTGCCGGCACGCCTCTGCGTGGACCTTACCCACCTAAGACCCCCATGGCCAGGCCGCCCAGGGCGATCCCCATGGCGTGCCCTCGCTCCTCGTCATCCGTGTACACGCTGGCAAGCATGCCCATCCCTGCGCAGGGAGAGAACGCCGAGAGAGTTACCGTGACTCCCTTCCCTCCCCAGCCTGGACCTGGGAGAGGCCCAACCCCATCAGATTCATGAAAACACAAGACCAAGAAGGGGCCAGCGCGGAGGGGGGACCTTCTCCACAAGCCACGGCCAGTGCCCAACCCCGAAACCTTGATTCCCTGACACCCAGCTCGCAGGGAAGGGGCTGGGGAGGGAGGGGGCAATGCTCCTGGGACAGACTGAAGACCCCCGGGCACGGACTTACTCGGGCACGGCCACACCTACCAGCCACCGAGGAGCAGGAGGAGCCGACGCCCTGCAGGGACCTGGCGATCAGCAGGAGGGCGTAGCTCCTGGAGAAGGCGAACACTGCAGAGAAGGGCCAGGCCAGGCCAGTGGGTCAGGGCAGGCGGCTGCCACTGAGACCAACCGAACCAGGTCCAACAGGCATTTCTGAGGCCCTCAGCCCGAGGGGTTGTTTCCATAGGAACCACCCTGTTTCTGCCCAGAAGACACTCCCCCCTCTAGGAATTTCTTTCTGCAGTTTTTACCCACCTCCCCGCCCCCGCCTGGGATCAGGGTCCTCAACTCGGGGCTCACGGCCATCAGACCCCTTCCCGTGACCCGTGCCCCGAAGGCAAACACGAGGCACTTACAGATCGTGGAGACGAACATGATGCAGAATCCCACAAACATCGGAATCGGGTAGCCGATTCTGCAAAACAAAAACCGCCAGGGGCCTCCGGAGGCTGCTGTGTGTTTGCCTAAGGCTTCAGCCGGGGCTCTCCTGCCCGCACCCTCTGGGAGCCAGGTAAGCGCTAGGTCAACTTCCCTAAAAACTCATACAGCTGGCACTTCCTGCATGACCTTTCCGTGTTTGACTGTCTCCGAGCGTGAATACATTTACGACTGCCTGGCCCGGACAGACATTTCTCTGGAATAAATGTTAGCACAAGATGGGCAAGCAGCCCAGGGCACGGCCCGAATATACGGCCCCTGGCTCCACCGTTTTTTTAAGTATTATTATTTTTAACATATTTTATTGATTTTTTACAGAGAGGAAGAGAGAGGAATAGAGAGTTAGAAACACCGATGAGAGAGAATCATCCATCAGCCGCCTCCTGCACACCCCCCACTGAGGATGTGCCTGCAACTATGGTTCATGCCCTGGACTGGAATCGAACCCGGGACCCTTCAGTCAGCATGCCGACGCTCTAGCCACTGAGACACACTGGTTTCGGCTAACTGTTATTTATCTTTCATGGTAGTCGCCACTAGAGCTTCTCTGAAGGCACAGTTACGATCAGTGATTCCAGGATCTGACCGGCCAGCGAGGCAACTGCCCTCCATCAAAGAGGCGTCAGGGAGGCCAGCGGAAAAAGACAGGCCCCGTTTGCTGAGCACAAACCCTATGTCCTACTTGCTCCCTAAGAGCACAGCCCATCCAGGGCTCTGCCACCAGGCAGGTGGCATGGTGGGAAGACCTTGGCCTTTCTGTACCTCGTCCCCGGCTGGATGCCCAGCCCTGCCATCAGCCCAGGAAGTCCTACCCCAGCTTCCCAGGGAGCTCACCGCTGCCCACCTCCCAGAACCCAGTGAGTGTAGGATGAGGTGTGGGTGCACGCTGCAACCAGGGCGCCTCCCTCATCCCCTTCCCCTGCCTCTGTTTCCGCTGATTACGCAGACACCTTGGTCCCTGCCACCTGCATGGGCACGAGGGTGCAGGCAGCTTCCTGGTCCCGCGCCCTGAGACGGTGTGCGGCGCTGGCTGAGTCATTCTCTCTGGGAGTCCGCGTCAGCCCAGAGCAGCCGGAGCACCTCCCAGGCCTCGCGCCCCCAAGCCCTGGATCCCACACCAAGAAGCCCCGAGTCCCTGTCACTCAGCCCAGAAGGGCCCTTCTGCTCTGGACTTGACTAAAAGGCATAGTTCTCACTCACTCAGTCCTTAAACACTCACACCCAGCAGCTCACTGACTGGACAAGGATGGTGGCCGCCTGCCCATCTCACATGGGCGGACACTCGGGCACCAACGAGGGGCCTGTGAGATGTCTCTGGCTGACTGCACCGCAGGCCACTCCGTCCAGCCCAGGGCTCTCCCTGCAAACTCCCCCACCTCCCCAAGAGCCAAAGGCTTTCAATACACCTTCCCAACAGAGTTCCTGGTCACGCTCTCTCCCACCTCCTTTTTTTTAAGTGCTTCATGTGCATCCAGAAACCAAAGAGCACCCTCAAATCATGACAGACTCCCTCTCACACCCCATGCAGATCCCCCACTGGGACCCGAGAAGAGCATGCAATTCACAAAGCGGAGCCCAAGGCAGACAGGTGAGGCAGCCGAGCCTGCTCCAGCCAGGAGACACGGGCTCTGAACCGCCATTCAGATGGCCATCCCATGGCCGCCTCTCTCGCCTCCATTAGCCCGGCGCTGGCCCCTGGAGGAGGAAACTTGCCGGAGGCTCAGAGAGCAGAGCTCCAGGCAGTTCCTCTTTCTCGGCCACTACTGTGCTCTGCTCCTGCGGGAAGAACCGACGCAACCTCACAGCTGCCCCGGGACGAACACCGTGTCCATATGTGTGCGAAGCTGTGGACATGCCAGGGGTTCTTACGCCCAAGGCCGCAGCCTGGCCACTGGCCCGGGTCCCCTGGCAGGACATGGCTGGGGCGGGCTGCTTGTCACCAGGAGGCCGGCCCTGGCAGTCCCTGAGGCCGTCGGCGGGGAAAGAGCTGGCAGAGCTGCCTGTGATGTCTTCGCAGCTCCGTGAGGTCGCTGGCTCTAGTCCCATTTTTCAGATGGCCGCACTGAGGCTCAGCGAACTGAAGTAACTTGCCCCCAGTTCAGGGCACCAACGTATCTCCAGCATCTGAGGCAGGCCAGGTCCTGTTGCTGTGCACTGTGGTGGGGACCCTGATCACAGGAGAACAAGTTCACGTGCGGTGAGTGGAACAGAAGGTCCACAGTTTCACCTAGAGCCAGTCGGCTCTGTACTGCAGTGCCGTCTTCTTTACAAAGCATAGTTATTGCCGAAACCAGTTTGGCTCAGTGGATAGAGCATCGGCCTGCGGAATGAAAGGTCCCTGGTTCCATTCCGGTCAAGGGCATGTACCTTGGCTCTGGGCACATCCCCAGTAGGGGGCGTGCAAGAGGCAGCTGATTGATGTTTCTCTCTCATTGATGTTTCTAACTCTCTATCCCTCTCCCTTCCTCTCTGTAAAAAAATCAATAAAATATATTTTTTTAAAAAGAAAAGAAAGCACAGTTATTGCTTTTAAAATCCCTTTGGGACTTAATGAAGCGGGCAGGGGATAACCAAATGGTCAATGCAGAAGGACACTCAAAGGCTGGCCAGTCCAAACCCCCGTCTCTGGTGAGAAAGCAAGGTTCAGAGACAGGGTGGTGGCTCACCCACTGTCCCAGCACAAGCCAACCGCCTCAGACCCCCGTGGGCTCCTGCTACTGCGGTCTCATCCCCGGACACACGTGCCCCCCACTTTCAACGCCGGCCAAGCCGCTGACGGGGCTGCCCCACGGAAATTGCCGGCAGCCTTGCCCTGCAGCCCAGCCCAGCCCAGCCCAGCACCAAGACACACTCCTGGATCCACCCTCCACCCTCTAGTCCCCTCAGCTTCCGCCAAGGAGGGTCAGCCAGGGCCCCGATCCCTGAGTGATGGGCAGACCGCCAACGCCTGTCCTCTTCCCCTGCCACGTCTCCTGAGTGGGCAGAGCCTCGGCTGCCATTACTCATCCACATCCGAGCCGCCTCCTGTCTGGATGCGACGCCTTCTCAATTAGAGTCCTGCCCAGCGCAGCGCGACACGACGCAGCAAACCTCCCAAACCAAATCTCCCATTATGGCCCCAGCCCCCGGCCATCCGCCAATGCGGTCGGAACAGGCCTGCAAGCCACAGGCCGAGTCCCCGGCGAAAGGGGCAAAGCAGTCAAGGCGCAGTCAGTCGTCCATCACCCCCGACAGGGCGGGCGGAGAACCCGTATCCCCCGCTTCATCACTGACCAGCTACTAACTGGTTTACCTTCGCCGTGGAGACCAGGAGAGTTCCAGCCTCAGGCCTGGGAGGCCTCAGTCTCTCCCTGCCTCTCCCCCCCTCCCCGCCATCCCCTTCCTGCACAAAAGCAAGCACGCGTAGGGCACACACTGTCAGCAGAAGAGACAAGAGGCGATGTCTCCCTTTTCAATGCTCCCGGCGCCCTCCTGAGAGGGGGTTCGGGGAGTGCACGTCTGTATAAACGGAACAATCAAAATCCAGGGGCCCCTCCGCGGAGCTCCTTGTCAATCATTCTGTAATGAAAACAGAGTCTCAGGTTCAGCCAGTGGGGTCTCTCTCGGCTCCCAGCCGTGCCCAGGGAGTCACGGTCTCTCTTCCTCTCCAAGCTGTCCACCCACCCACTCACCCCCCACCCCCGTCCCTGACACACAGCTCAAGCAGGGGCTCTGGTCCCTGACAAACAGCCAGCTCCCCGGGGACTGACGGGAAGGCCCCGCCACGCCACCCTCACCGCCCTGGGGCAGCGGGCTTCCCCCTCCCCGAGCAGCTGAGAAGGTCACCGCTTATTCCCACAGAGCCCACTCCGGCCAGCCGGCCTGGGGAGGGGTGGGGTGGGGGCGGGGAGGGTTAACCACAGCAGATCGCGTCGCGATTCTGTGCCCCGTGGCTTCCTCCGTGCCATCCGGACGTCAGCTACGATCTGAGGGGGGAAATAACTGGCTTTCAGACACACGAGGTAACTATGGAAATAAATTAAGCCACTGTCACCGGCCTGATAAAAAGCAGACCACAGAGACAATGATGAGCAGAGCCAAGGAGGGAGGCCCCGGAGCGGCCCGGCATTAACCCTTTCCCTGGCCGCCCCGCTCCTTCTGCACTAACGTTCCGTCCCAAAGGTGCAGCCGCTGTGCAATCCTTGTGCTCGGCACGCGAAGGCCAGGGGGCCACGTTCTGAGCCCGAGGTGTGGACGGAGGCACGGCAAGGTGTTTCCACATCGCGCACCTGCCCGGAGCATGGCTGGGACGTGGGTGCGTGTCTGAAACCCACCTGCCGGGCTGAGTGCCACCAGGGGTTGCTAACTATTAGTCCCATGGTCCTCAGCCTTCCTCATGCCGCGGCCCTTTCCTTCAGCTCTTCATGCTGCGGTGACCCCCCGACCATAAGATTATTTCCGTTGCTACTTCATAACTGTCATTTTGCTACTCGTATGCATCGTGATGTAAATATCTGTGCTTTCCGATGGTCCTGGGCGACCCACAGGTTGAGAGCCGCTGCTGTAGAGCCTAAGACCATCGGAAAGCACGGGTATTTACATTACGATGCCTAACAGTAGCAGAATGACAGTTAGGAAGTAGCAACAGAAATAATTTTATGGTCGAGGGTCACGGCAGCATAAGGAGCTGTATGAAAGGGTTCAGGCATTAGGGAGGTTGAGAACCACTGGGTGAGTCCTTTCATTCGCTTTTACGCACAAGGCCATCCTGAAGATAAACGAACTGGAATGGTAAAGTAAGTCACACGCGCCTCCAAGACGGGACTCCAGCACCCAAGGCCCTGACAGTGCTCCTGGGTGTGGCCGCTCCACCTGCCCCATTCAAGGTCCTTTGCTCGCTGTCCGGTCACGTGTGTTTCAGTAAAAACATGGCATCAGCAGAGTCAAGTCCAAGAAAAGTGACTCCCCGGTGAACCCTTACCCTGCTTCCAGGCACTGAGCTGTCTTACGTGCAGGGTTTGGCGTGCGACCTGATCTAATCTGATATTGGAAAGGACAGGCAGGCAGCTGCCTCTTGCATCATCCGCCCACAAAAGCCACTCTCACGGCAGCATCACGGCCACGGAGAAGGAGTGGCTCCAAGCTGCCTGTCTCTGGGTAGCTCTCCCCTCACCCCCCATGTCTTTGGGGGTTCAGGCAGCCTCATTTTCCCCGTCAGAAGCACTGCAGAGACGCTAGGAAGCCAGACCAGCTCACACCAGTGGCTGGAAAAAGAGTTGTTGTTTTGTTTTGTTTTTAGGGCCAAGGAGGTGAGGGAAGGTCCGTGTCTAGAAAACCAGGCTGATATCTCCCAGGACCCCACTGTTGGGCCCTTTACCAGTCCAGCCTGGGACCTCCAGAGAGAGCCTAAGTGGATGCGAGAGAGTTTGACCTGCGCTCCTCACTCTTAGAAGCCACGCTTACACACTGTGTAACAGTAAGCAGGTGGCAAGAACAAGGCGGGGAAGACACCGCACAGAGAGGCTGGGCCCCGGCCTGGTCCTGGGCAGACACTTCCTCTCCCGAACGGCCAGCTCTTGGCCTGTCAGGTCCCAGTTCTGGCCCCAGAGCCCCTGCTAAACTCTGTCCCAGCTCCGACGCTCTGTGTTTTGAACGACTCTGTAATAGGAAACACAGGCGCCCACCGTGAAACACGGTTGTAAGCACACTTGTTTACAATCCTGGAAACGGGTCACCCATCTTGTTGGTAATTGAGGATGTGATTGGCACAAATTACACCGAAGACGACTAGCAGTGGCTCACAAGAGAAGGTTCTGCCAAGGAAAATGGGACGTGTTTATCGCTTCTCTGAGCAGAACCTCGGCGTGCCCAGAAGTGCCGCAAGTCCTCAGACTCAGGGCTGCGGAGCTTGGAAAATACTGGGGGAGGGGAAATCACAAATCCTGGTAACTTTTGGAGGGTCAGACTTCACTCCATTACTCTGCGGGCAGCGATAGTCAAGGACACTTGTATTTCCCACGCTACAAGGAAGTGCTAAAAAGATGGTTCTTTTGACATTTGCTTGGTAGCTGGGGGAAGCAGTTAGGGTTTAAAAATTTGCTCTAGATAAATTCCAAAGTGGATTATTCACCTTAAGAATAGACTGCATTTCACAGGTACAGAACAAAAATAGGTTTCTCTTGAAGACTTTTTTTTTTTTCTTTCTAAGAGCCCCACCCACTTGGAGCCTTGGGGACTGCAAGTCAAAGCCTTTGGAGTAGTTACCATAGAGGAAAGGCTCCCTGATTGTAAACAGGCCTCTTCCTCATGGAATAAACAAAGCATTCAAAACAAGAAGGGGGCTTCTTGCCCTAGACGGTATGGCTCAGTGGATAGAGCGTCGGCCTGCAGACTGAAGGGTCCCAGGTTCGATTCTGGTCAAGGGCATGTACCTTGGTTGGGGGCACATCCCCTAGGATGGGAGGCAGCTGATCGATGTTTCTCTCTCATCAATGTTTCTAACTTTCTATCCCTCTCCCTTCCTCTCTGTCAAGGAGGAGGAGAAGGAAGAGGAGAAGGAGAAGTAGGAGGAGGAGGAGGAGGAGGAGGAGGAAGGAAGGAAGCAGGAAGGAGAAGAAGAAGATGACTTCCTCAATGCTTTTCATTTGCCACCTGCATTTGGGAAGCTGGAATGCTCTCATCCCTTCAGCCCGGTTTTTAAGCATGACCCTGTCTATGACAATCACACCCACAGTAACAACAGGGCATCGTTATAATAATGTCCTCAATTTTCCCACGGAGCCTTTGAGCTCTTCGCCGTCTCAGAATACAAAACGCTGAGCCCTTCTCTGCCATTACACCAGATGCATTCTTTTTAAATCCTCACCCGAGGATACGTTTCTATTGATTCTAGAGAGAGGAAGGGAGAGAGAGAGAAAAACACTGACCGACTGTCTACCACATCCACCCCGACTGGGAAGTAAACCTGCACCCAGGCACGTGCCCTGACCAGGAGCCGAACCCCCAATCCTCTGGTGTCCCCGAGGACGCTCCAGCAAACGGAGCCACCTGCCAGAGCCACCAGATGCAGTGTCAGAAGGGCTCCTGGTGTTGGCGTATTTTACATGGCGGCTACATACTGCTGCCTCACGCAGACTGGCTGGCTGGGCCTGGCTTAGGATGGTTCCAATCGCCTCAACGGCCCTCCTCAGTCCAGAAAGCCAAATGGCCAACGCTGACCATGTGTTCCCGCCCAACTCGCCATGGGTGCAGCAGCTGCCCCCTCTGAGTGTCCGAGGGCAGCTTGTGCTGGGGGGGTGGGGGGGCCGGGAAGGAGGGAGGCAGATCTCCGTACCCCGTCTCCTCTCTCATGGACCTCAGCCCCAGAGCTGGCCCCAGCCCCCCGTCATGCGGAGCCCCACCTTGAGAAGGGCCCAGAGCTTGGTTTCATGCTTGCTGCTGCCCTCTTGAAATGCTTAATGATATTTAAACAAAAGCCCTACTGGGGTCCCCCTCTCCCCTCCCCCCTCCCACTCCCACCCCATCCCGTGGCCAAAGCCTGGGCAGGTGTAAGCACCTTCGTTCCCAGTCTACACGGGGTGCTGGGTGGACCTGCCCGAAGCCGGCTTCATTGCTGACTCTTCAACTTGGCTTTGGAACCTCGGATGGCTTCCAAGCAGCCCCCCAATAAAAACCCCGCTCCTTTCTCCACCTAGCACGTGGGGCCTTCTAGAGACTGGCCCGCCCCGTTCCCCAACTCCACCCTCTCTGCCTCCCCATCTCTATCTTTGGCTCTGTCCATGCTGCTGGACCGGGTCCCCATGTAGGACTCTGGGCCCTTCCTCCTCCGCCATGTCTTGCTTTTCTGTCTTCGGGGTACACTGTTCCCATGGCAGCCTGCCGCCACCGCTGACTCTGAATCAGCTCCCCCTCCCTGCAGCTGACGCCCCTCCCCTGGACGGCAGCCCTGAGCCTGCGTGGGCCAGGCCGAGCTGGATTCCCTCCTGAACAGAGACTTGCTGGGGGGGGGGGGTTCCCCAACAATGGAAATACGAACAAGTATTCGAAGTAATGGGGACCCAGAAACGTCCAGAACACCTAGGCTTACATAGACCTAGTCTGGGGAGGATGTGGGCATTACTAGCTAGTTAGAATGATGCGGAAAATGGCTTCCAACGCCTTCCCTGTGTGCACGTGGGCAAAGCTCACACACAGGCAGGGGACGAACCTACCCCACTGACCATGCCCTCCGCCTCCGGACGGTCATCTCAGCAGCAGCAGGACCCTCTCTCCCCAACCCCCCACCTGGCCAGCTCCTGGAGCTTCTCCTCGCCGGCTGTACAGACGACGCCTGGCTTTCTACGCAGAGGGACAGGGCCGGGGTGGGAGAGAAGAGAATCCGATGACGCAATCCGGCATTTAGACGAGAATCCAAGTCCTCCCGCGTGGGAGGGCCTCTGGTCCCTTCTAACATTTTCTTACTTTTTAAGCAGCAGAGGCGGCCACGAAAGGCAGAACGAATGCGAAACCGTAATTCACTCCGGGCCGAATCAAAGAGGAGAAGGGATTGGATCTCTTCCTTCCCCCCTCCCAGCCTGGTTCCCAGATTCTGCTAACAGACGAACGTGACACAGAACCCCGGGGGAAACGAGCTCGGAACAGCATACACGTAAATAAGCTCTTCGGCCAAAACGCCACCGCCTACCTGTTGGTCAGCAGCCCTATGAACGGGTTGGTGATGAGCTGGACCGTGGCCTTGGAGGCGAAGAGCAGGCCGACCTGCACGTTCTCGTTCAGGAGGTCCTTGTCGGCGCTGGGACACTCGGAGGGGCCGGCGGACGCGTTGGTCACCGTGGGCTGCGTGCTGGCCGTGGGCAGCGGCCGCCCCCGGAGGGCCCCGGTGGTGTTCCCGGTGGCCACGGTGGAGTTGTCGTAGTAGGAGAAGATGCTCCGGAAGCCGTCCGAGGGGGAGGCCGTGGGCGCTGGCCGGGCAGTCGGGACCTCGGTTGCGTTCTGCTCGTGCTCGAGGCTGTACAAGTAGCTTGGGATGATGGGGACTGGGGACAAGAGAGAACGGGAGGGTGGTGACCGCACGGAGACTCTCCCCGGGGCAAATGCCAGAAGCGGGATGGTCACGTCCAATGTCAACGAGACACAGAGAGGTGGTGTGAACACCCCCTCCCCTGCTGACACTGCTCAGCGCCCCGGAGAGAACGACGCCCCAGGAGGCTAGTTCCCTGGGGTTTCTCCGTTCGGGTTCCACCCCAGGAATACTTTGGGAAAGCAAAATCTGGGCTGAGGTTGAGTCCAGGGTTAACCACCAGCGCCTCTCAGAAAGAGGCTCCAAAGACCTTTAATTGAATGAATCAAGGAAACAGAAACCTAAATTGCATCGTGTGTCTTAGAAAAATAAATAAATAAATAAATAAATAAACCTGCAGGAAGTCATCTCTGGCTCTCGGGCGGGAGCCGGCAAGTTTGCATCCTATCCGGGGCACACGAGAATCTCTGAGGCTTTCCAGAGAGGAAGGAAAACCTTTTGTTGTGACAGCAGCAGCTGTGGGCACGTGTGTGACAACAGAACCTTTAACGCAAAGGAGGCGGGGGGGGGGGGGGGGAGGGGGGCGGCTGCTGAACCCCGACCCACCTCACACCTCAGGGCTCTGATCACCTCAACGCCCAACCACCTGCTGCTCTGAGACTGGAGAGCGGAGAGACCACTCCCACCCCTGCGAGTCGAAATTAAAAAAAAAAATACTTTCTTTTACTCATGGCAAATGTGGACACGGTGAAGGAAAAGCATGCCCAACCACTTTGCTGTCGATGAGGCTAGTGATGAGAGCCGGGTTATTTTGTTTCTTAAAAACCCATTCTAGGAAAAAGGCTGGAAGGAACACTCTTCAAACGGCTCTCAAAATGGCCCAGAACCGTCTCCATCCTGAGTCATCCAAGGACACAGCAGACTGAACCGCCACTTCCCTTCTCCTTCTCCGAGGGAGGGGGGTCTGCTTGGCTCCTTGATGCCCCATCGCATCGCCAGCCCTCCTTTTCGGGGGCAAAACCAGTCTGACAGCCTTCCTGTGAGCTCTGACAATGGCTAGTCCTTCAGAGAAATCTTTTTCTCTTCGGGCACAGCGGGCAGGCAGGGGGGAGGCCGGGCATTATCGGGAGGAAACACAAGCTCTGGGCCGTGCAGGGCGTCACATTCTGCCATGACCGCCAGGAAAGCAAAGCCACAAGCTCGGCCCTCTCTCCGTGGCCCGACGTGGCCGCGCTGGGGGCTGTGTTTTTGCAAAGTGCCTTCCCCAACTTGCCCAGGTTTCGGTGCTCCGGTGAGTGGGGAGCCCAGGGAAGGGGTGTCGGGCGGGGATTGAGGGGGAGCACAGGGCACACGTACCCACGACGGTGAGCAGCATGTTGTCCAGGAGCAGCGCGAGGAACACGATGAACAGGATGAGCCTCCGGGAGTGGCGGCCGTCCAGCAGCAGGCGGACCAGCGCCCACTCGCTCAGGGCCATGGCTGGGGCCGGCTGCGGGCAGGGGAGAGGCGAGGGGCTGGGGCCGGGCTGAGGGCAGAGGAGAGGTGAGGGGCTGGGGCCGGGCTGAGGGCAGGGGAGAGATGAGGGGCTGGGGCTGGGGTGCGGGCAGGGGAGAGGTGAGGGGCTGGGGCCGGGCTGCGGGCAGGAGAGAGGCGAGGGGCCGGGCTGCGGCCAGGGGAGAGGAGAGGGGCATCAGCGGATGGGGTTCCCGCACCCTCCAAGCTCACACCTCTCGGCTGCGGGAAGGGCGGGTCCCGGGCGGGTCTCCAGTGGACCCCCGGGTCCTCAGCCACCTCTGTGCTCGGGGGACCGTCTCTCGCGGCGCCGTCGGGGGCGCCCCGGGATCTCAGGGCGATGCTCCCCGCTCCCCGCCTCCCCGGCCCGGCGTCTGCCCAGCGCCCCGGGAAGCGCCGCGGGGGGACGGGGCGCGCGGTGCGCCCTGCGCCCTGGCCGCCCGGATGGAGCCCCGCTCGGTGCTTTGGCGGCTCCCCTCCCCTGGGCACCCCCTCACCTCGCCACCCCTCTGCAGGCGCTCCTCCCTCCGCTCCTCCGCTCCTCCCGCGACCCCGAGACCCCGCTGCCCGGCCCCAGCCCAGGGCCCCGCGGACAGGGTGCGGGTCGCCGTTACCTCGCGTCTCCGGCCGCGGTGCGCTCCGTCTGCTCGTCTGTCAGTCCGTCCGGGCGCCTCCGGCCGCCGTCTCCGCCCTCTGAGCCCCGCCGCCGCCGCCCGGGTTAGCGGGTCCGGCCGTGACGTCACGGAGCGGCCGGCGGGGGGCGGGGGGCGGGGGGCCGGGGGGGGGGGGGCTCCGCCCGCACGTGGCCGCGAGTCCTCCGCTCCCGGGCCGGGCGGGCGCGGAGGGGACAAGTCCGGGGCTCCGGGGGGCCGGTCAAGGTCCCTGGGGGAGGAGAGGGGGGGTCAGGAGCCAGAGTGTGGAGTCTTGGGTTCATCTGGCCCCAAGTAGGGAGCGGCTGGAGCTGCTGTGGATCCTCACCTGGAATTGGCCCCAAGGTCATGCAGGTTCCTGGGCGATCCTCATCCCGCTCAGGGAAGGAGGATAGGGTGCTGGGAGCCGGGCACAGCCTTACCGTCCTGGGAAAGCCCCTCAGCACGCCCCCTCCCTCCCTCCCGGCGCCCCACCCCACCCCCACCCCCCTCTGGAGCCTGAGGCCTCCGCTCAAGCTGGTGCAGGGGAAGCAGGGCGGTTGGGTACAGGAGATGTGGTACACTTTCACCATGGGTGCCACGCTCAGCCGTTCAATAAGATGGAATAGTGCCCTTTGCGACAATGTGGATGGGCCTGCGGGTATCTGTGCCAAATGGAATAAGTCCGTCGGAAAGGGACAAGCGCCTGATGATTACATTCACATGCGGGAAATGCAACAGAGAGCGACAGATCAACAAACCACAACTCACCGCACACCCACCTCAGACAGCAGGATGGTTACCCGGGGCGGGGAGGGGGAGGAAGAGTGTAAAGGGGGTTCAACACAAGGTGAGGGGAGGAGACCGCCCTTGGGGTGGTGAGCACCAGTAGGCCATACGGGTGATGTAACCAATATTATCCCATAAGCTTAACCTTGGGGTCCGCAAACTGCGGCTCTCGAGCCACATGCGGCTCTCTGGCCCCTTGAGTGTGGCTCTTCCACAAAATACCACGGCCCGGGCGAGTCTACGTTGAAGAAATGGCGTTAGAAGAAGTTTAAGTTTAAAAAATTGGGCTCTGTCTGCATGCAGACTGAAAGGTCCCAGGTTCGATTCCAGTCAAGGGCATGTACGTACGTACCTTGGTTGCAGGCACATCCCCAGTGGGGGGTGTGCAAGAGGCAGCTGATCGATGATTCTCTCTCATCGATGTTTCTAGCTCTCTGTCCCTCTCTCTTCCTCTCTGTGGAAAATCAATAAAATAAAATTTAAAAATTGGGCTCTCCAAAGAGATTTCAATCGTTGTTGTCCTGTTGCTAGTTGGCTCTGTGGACAAATGAGTTTGCCCACCGCTGGCTGAACGGAACAAGAAAAGCAAAAGAAAACAGAGGGGTGGTTGGCAGGAGGAATGCTTGTTTGGGGCTGGTTGGAGCTGTGATGCTCACGGCCCCGCGGTAAGTGTCCCTCCATGTACCAAAGAGGAGAGAAACCAGCGCCCTCCTGACCTAGCCCCAGCTTTGGAGGCCCTTCTAGGGGGCAGGCTGGGGGGGGGGGGGGTGGGTAGGCGAGGGAACAGGAGCTGTTTTCTTGGAAAGCCACTGAGGATAAATGCCATCTGGCCTGGCCGCTGAGCAGCGGAGCTGTGTTTTATTCCTGTCTGCCTGAGGTGGGCTGCAGGCTTCCTTCCAGACACACTGCCCCCCTCCCCCCCCCGTGGGAGGAAGATGTTTCAGTAAGCAAGTAGGTCAACAACATGGGGACTCCGTGTCCCAGGATGTGTGCAGTTTGCGTGTCACTCAGGGAAGGAAGAAGGAAACCCGCATAGGGGACAGAGCAGAGGGCGGGAGCTAAGACGGCTGTGAAGGGGATCATGCGTGGAGGGCCCCGGAGTGCCCGGAGTCTCGGAACCCAAAGATGCAGGCCCTGCCCCCATGTCCCTGAGCCACGGAGGTGCCGGAACCTGCCGGCAGCGAACAGTACCTGAGTGAGGGGGTGAGGATGAGAAAAAAGACAGGCAAGAAAAGGTGGGGTCGGGAGGACTGAGACCGAAGTCCCGAGTTTATTCCAAACAGCATATTTAAGCACACACAGCAATCTAGGCAAAAGCAGTAAGTTCCTTCTTCTACTGACTGTTCTTTAACCAGGTCAAGTAAATGTCAAGGCTAGCAATGCCTGCAATCCTTGTGCTACAAGTCAAAACAATTCCTGATAACTGCCAGCAGCAGTCGTTTCCCACTGCCTGCTGTGCAGCGAGGGAGGAAAAGAGAGCTGTGTCTCCACAAGGGAGACCCCCTGCTTTCAGGGCAGCTCCCCACACGGGCATCCTGGTTAAGGGCTCCAGGCCCGGGTCCCAGCCTACTACTTCCTGGACCAGTGACCTTGGGCAGGTTGTGTCTCCTCTCCGTGCCTTAGTTTCCCCATCTCTGAAATGGGGCTGCTGATTGGACCTATCGCAGCGTTGTGTCTAGGACTAAATGGGAATGCACAGGCACCTCTGGGAGAGGGAGAGCTCAGAAAGTGTCTACCACTCATTCATTCATTCATTCTCTAAATATTTGTTGAGGGCTTCATAGGTGTCAGGTACTATTGATTCTGGGGAGACAGTAGCAGCCAAACAGACAAAAGCCCTGTCCTCTTAGGGAGCGAACAGGTCCCGGTAGCCACACCAGCTCCAGCCCGCACTGTGCCCCTCCTCCTGAGCAGTTTTGATTTGCATTCCCATGACAGCTAGTGAAGGTGAGCATCTTTTCGTATGTCAGTTGGCCATTTGTATGTCTATAATGGGTTTCACACATTTTTGTTCACACCCCTCTAAAAGAATTTTTAAAATATATATATATATGGTTTGGCTAACTGGTTTGGCTCAGTGGATGGGGCGTCGGCCTGCGGATTCAAGGGTCCCAGGTTCAATTCTGGTCAGGGGCATATGCGTTGGTTGCGGGCACATCCCCAGTAGGGGTGTGCAGGAGGCAGCTGATCGATATTTCTCTCTCATCGATGTTTCTAACTCTCTATCCCACTCCCTTCCTCTCTGTAAAAAAAAAAAAAAAAAAAATCAATAAAAAAATTTTAAAAATAAAAAAATATCTATGCCTCCAGCCAACCCAATGGGAGAAAATATTTGCAAACAACTATTCCGACAAAGGGTTAATGTCCAGAATATATAAAGAACTCACACAACTCAACACAAACAATCCATGTTAAAAGTGGGCACAAGACCTAAACAAACACTTCTCCCAAGATGACATACGAATGGCCAACTGACATACGAAGAGATGCTCAACTTCACTGGTCGTCATGGGAATGCAAATCAAAACAGCAATGAGATACCCCCTCACACCTGTTAGCGCGGCCACTATCAACCAGACAGATAGTAACAGGTGTTGGAGAGAAAGGAACCCTCACTCACTGCTGGTGGGAATGCAAACCGGCATAGCCGCTATGGAAAAAGTGGCCGTTTCTATTCAAAACATTAAGAATAGAGCTTTGGTTGGTTTTCTCAGTGATTTGGGTGTCAGCCCTCGGACTGAAGGGTCGTGGGTTCATACCTTGGTTGCGCACAGGATCCCTGAGCCCAGTAGGGGCGCTTGCAGGAGGCAACCAATCTATGGGTCTCTCTCACATCCACGTTTCTCCCTCTGTCTCTCCCCCTCCCTCCCACTCTTTCTAAAAATCAATGGAAAAAAGATTCTCAGGTGAGGATCAAAAAAAAAAAAAAAAAAAAAAAAAAAAAAAAAAAAGAATCGAGTTAACATATGACTCTGCAATCCCTCTTCTGGGTAATTACCTGAAAGATGTGAAAACATTTATTCTCCAAGATACATGCACCTCTGTTCATTGCAGCATTGGTCACGGCGGCCAAGACATGGAAACCAAGTGCCCTTCAGTAGCTGATTGGATAAAGAAGGTGAGGTACGTGTACACAACAGGACACTATTCAGTCACACAAGAAATTGAAATGCTGTCATTTGCAACAACATGGATGGACCTCGAGAAGGTTAGGTTATACAAAATAAGTCACACCAAAAAAAGCCAAGAACCATATGATTTCACTCATATATGGGATATAAAACTGAAACTCATAGACTCGGACAGCAGGATGGTGGTTCCCAGAGAGAAGGGGGGAGGGGGGGAGGGGCAAAGTCTTGAGCAGGAGAGGCGGGAGGGGAGCCCATGCTGCCGCTGACACCCGTGTTGGTCCATCAGAAGCTCGTCTTCCGGAGACTTCCTTCCTCTCAAGGGCAGAGTGGGATCTGAGAAAGGATGTGGGACAAGGCGGGAAAGTGGCAATAACCCAAGCGATGGTTTATTGCTTAGAACTGAGGCATGTGATCAG